CCCGGGGCCCGCGGGAAGCCCTTGTAGCCTGGGTTCAGGTCAATCCGGGGCTGGGGGCTGTGGTGGGTCCCTCCCGGCTCGGCCCCCTTGCTCCAGCTATAAGGTGGCACCTCCATGGCCTCGTGCCGGATGACGCGGAGGCTGTACTGGGTGAGGGGCCGAGAGAAGGAGCGCTCCACCGCCTGGCACTCGTAGGTGCCCATGTCCTCCCTCGCCAGCTGACGGATCAGCAGCCCTTGCTCCAGCACCAAGAAGCGGCCGTTGTTCCTGACCTGGGGCGAAGGCAGAGCACCAAGGGGTCAGTCCCCAGGGACCGAGCCACCCCTCCACCTCATCCCTGCAGCCCTGTGCCCCATACCTCGCTCAGGCCAGTCTCCTCGCCGTGCCGCACCAGCCACCGCACAGTTGTCTGAGGGGAGCGCGCCAGGCACTCAAGGAAGGTTGAGTTCTTCTGCACCCCAAAAACCAGCTTCACGGCAGCAGTGCCTGCGTGGGGGACAGGGCAGGGGAACGGGTGAGTACCTGCATGGGAGCTGCATGATGGGAGGGCAGCAGGGAATATCCAGTGCACAGAGTGCAGCTTGGGGTCTGTGGCGGACGGTGCTGGCACAACTGGTGGGCACTGGTTTCAGAGCGCCATGCTGCCCGCCCTCTCCGGCATTGCTGGCCCCCGGGCAGAGCCGGCTGCCTGCCCTGGGGCTCCTTGACGGGGCGCCCCATGCTGCCCGCCCTCTCCGGCATTGCTGGCCCCCGGGCAGAGCCGGCTGCCTGCACTGGGGCTCCTTGACGGGGCTGGGGCTGGCACTCACCCTCTGCAGTGTCCTGGCACTGGCTGAGCGGGTCAGACTTCAGCACGTCCTGGCAGCGGGCACGCCTGTGGGAGAGCAGACAGGGCTGTGGGATGGCACCCGCCCTGGGCTGTGGGACCCCTCCATGGCAGAGCACCCAGGGAAGAAGAGGAGGGCTGGGGGATAGTCAGGCAAGGTGGCAGCGGTGTCTGTGCTGATGGATAAAGCTCCAGGGCCGGCAGCTTGCCCTTCCCTGCTCCTAATGCCATCGCTTCGCAGGGGGACGGCAGGGCTGGCCCGGGTGGATGCTCACCTCTTCTCAGTGAGCAGGTGAGGGGCGCAGGTCCTCCCGTCCCAGGTGCAGTAGGGGTCCCTGGCCAGGCAGCAGTCGGTGCAGGTTTTGCCGTAGAGCTCGCAGCGGTACAGGGAGAGCTGGAGCAGCCCGTGGGCGCTGCTCACAAACAGCTCCTGCTGCTCGGGCAGGCAGAGCGGCGACAGTCGGTACCCCCAGGCTGGAGACCGGGGCTAGCCGGGGAACTGAGCTCCCTGCCCTGTGCTGAGTGGGGGCACTGGGAGACACGGGGAGTGGGGGGCAGGGCCTGCCACCCCCCAGGCTGCCCTGGCAGGAGCCCGTTCCCTAAATGTGCTAGCCCTGAGGCCAAGGGACCCAGGCAGTGTGGCTGGGGCAGCAGCCAGCTGCCCTCTGTGCCCTGTCCCTTGGCTGCTTTAGGAAGGAGCAGGAGGGAGGACTCACCCGCTTCGGTGACAGCTTCATGTCCAGGATGGGAGAAGGCATCTGGAGGGGAAGGAGAGGTGCAGCAGTGTCGGTCCCTGCTGGATGCCCCAGCCTGCCAGTGGGACTGGGACCCTGGGGTGGCCCTGGCCGACGTCCCTGCTCCCAGCTCCTCCCGCTCCATGCAAGCAGCCCGGGCTGGCCCTGCTCAGCGTGAGCAGCACAGAGCAGCCCTGCCCAGCAGCGTGCCTTCGAACCTGGGCTCAGCCCTCCCATCTTAGTGCAGGCTCTGATGTGCCTCCCACATCCACCCTGGAGACTGGACGGGGAGCTGGGAGATGGCTTGGCTCCGGTCCCCCTGGCTGCCCTCCGTGCTAACAGCCATGGGGGGCACCAGCAGTGAGGCAGGGACCCTCCCCTGTAGAGGCCAGTGACTTGCTGCAGCATCTCGCAGGGAGGATGCCACGGGGCGAGGGGAGGCCGCCTGGTCCAGCCCTGGCCTGGCCTCCTGTACCTTAGTGACGCTGATCTCCTCCAGGCTGATCACCTCGGTGCCGCGGCTCGCCCCACCGGCCAGTCCCACCTTCAGGACTTTGCCTTCATCTGTGAACGCAGCGGGAGAAGGAGCTGTCAGGGCTGGGAGCCACCCGAGCTGGCGGGAGCGGTGTGCCACGCAAGCAGCCGTGCGCTGACAGCGTCCCCAGAGCTGGGGTGCGTTCCCACCTGTGCCGAGGAAGAGCACGTCGTAGTGCCGGCTCTCCGTCTCCAGCCTGTGCACCAGCAGCCGCCGCCGCCGGTAAGGGA